ATTTACCATTGCAAAAAATATATTTCAACAGACGAAAATAATCTATTAATTGAAAACATGATTCATACCGAATATGGATACAATTTTGGCAATATGTTTATACAATGAAAGGTTCAAAATATAAAATGAATCATGAAACCAAGTACTAATAGCCGAGTAATTTTTATGAGGGTCTGGTCGTCAAAGCCAGTGATGTCGCAGGGCAAATCAATGTGATGACACGCTACTAAAGAGAGAGTCAGGGCACAGTCGAGATTCACAGAATTTCATAGTAACAATTGCAATATTCGAGTCGTGAAAGGAAATTGAATTCAGAATTCTTCAGTAAAATATTAATAGTTTGCATGAAATCAATTATTAAATAACTAAAGGGTATATAGGTATAATCACTAAAACCAAAAGAAATACAGCCTGGTGGGAATAAATCCATATCTGTTTCATTTACAGAGATACAATATCAACATATTCTATATGACGATAAATATTTCGATACCACATGTAACAAGACAGGTAAGGTAGATAAACGTCCTTCACACGTCTGTGTTAGGGTGTCATTGTGTTATAAGATGGTATCAGTTAGTCAGTCTGTATTATAATATCAATAACGATTAACGGTTTGTTACACGCGTTGTCTCCTAATGTGAACGCAATAGAGTATATTATATTGTAGCAACACGTCATTATAACTGCTAGACGCACACCAGTATATTTGGCAAGGTAGTTATATGTAAATTGTAGATTATCTAAAAATACGTACAAAATAACAAACTGTATATAATACCAATGACTAGGTTAAAAGCTATCTTAAAACTACAAGAATTTATCGGGAAACGATGTTAACAGAAAAAACTCACATATCACACATCTCTACACAGTAAATCTTACAATGTTGATAAATAGCCACATATCACAACTTAACACAGTAAAACTTACAATGTTGATAAATAGCCATATAACACACACCTCAATACAGTTTAACTTACAATGTTGAAAAAAGCCATATATCACACACCTCAATACAGTAAATCTTACAATGTTGATAAATAGCCACATATAACACACCTCATTACAGTAAAACTTACAATGTTGATAAATAGCAACAAATCACACCTTTACACAGTAAAACTTACCATGTTAATAAATAACCACATATCACACACCTCAACACAGTTAAACTTACAATACAGAAAACAAACACTTTGTTTGATATAACTAATTACATTCCTGGTGCAGTTGATAAAGAGAAAAGTAATGGTCCTTATTTGTTATTTGTTTCATCGTTATACGAACACCAGTGTGACGTCACGTCATGTGAAAACTGTGACGGAATCGGGATTTACCAGAAGACAAAATTGAAAATCAATAAAACAATGTTTTTTTTACAGATACCTCCTTACACTTAACGAAGAACTCAACTTACAGAGATTGGCGGATACTTTGGAGGACAGAGGCGCACTGACTCCGTCACTGAAGGACAAGGTGCTACAACAAACGTCTGAAAGGGAAAAGACCGAGAAATGCCTGGAGCTAGTGAGGAAGTCCGGGCCTAAGTCCTACAGTGTCTTGTGTGAAGTACTGAAGGACTGTGGCTACAGTCACATTGTAGAATCTCTCAAGGCAGAAAACGGCGAGGTGCCAAGCGAATGTAAGCTTCAGTAGCTATAGACGTGAAATATGCTAGCGATGTCGTTCAGATACTGGGAAATTATTCTATTGAAATATATTTTATATCTAAATTGTACAGAAAGTGCCTGTAAGCTAAAAGAAATGAAGCTACCAATTTACAATGACCATATGCCAATGGAAATTGGCACGAAAGCAGGTGCTCTGTATTGTCTTTGACAAATGAAACTCGTCATGATGGCCCGATTCAAATTCAAGAAAATAACTGATTGAAGTGAAGTATAGGTACAGAATTGATTTTAAAACCATGGGTTCTGATGCCGAACCCAAATATATTAAGATCTAAGATATCTTTTATCTCTATCGAAACCATGATTTTTTTTTTTTACAGATACGGACGAGTCCGAACAACTACTGTTAGATATTAAAGACTTAGAGGTAAGTATGGCAAAATATCATCAGAAACGACATGATGTACACTCAATTATCCCGGACATCTTCATTTTGAAAAACAAGTGCAGGACAACCACTTATTTTCTGTTATCATGAATAATCAAAGATATACAATTGAATCAGTACAATGTTTTGATAGATGTGATCAGTCCACATACGTTAAAAAATCGTGCTGTAAACATTTTAATTTCTCAAACATCATTTAAGGTTCTTTTTTACATTATAAAGCAGGAGATCAATGTAAATGTAGAAATATTTGGCTTAAAATTAAAGTGAATTTGTTTCATCATTGCTATATATACTTTACAGATCTCGAACATCAAGTTTACGCCAGACATTGGAACAACACCATCCGGGAATCTCTCAGTGGTAGGAATGAAAATGTCGTTAACTGACCTTGCCAAGGATACCAAGGCATCACAGAAAGACATTGCCATCGTGATGCAGAAACAATCAGACTTAGAACAACATCTCGAAGAGGTCATGAAGTCATTAGACCACGCCAAGGAGGCGCTAGCACGTGAGCGCGAGGAGAAATTGCAACTTCAAGAACAGTTAAGTGCTAGAACTGACGATTTAGAGGACATGCAGCGCAAATACCGCGAACTACAGAAAGCAATGGGCAAACTTAAAGAAACGAACAATAAATATCATGAAAAAGTGACAAAACTTCAAATTGATAATGAAGAATTACGAAAAAGTACGAAAGACAAAGGAAACTTGCAGATAGAACTAGAGTCGAAAAAAGAAGAAATCACATCACTGAAGAAGCAGATAGAAGAACAGAAACTACAGATCACAGATCAACAGACCTTGATCAGCGACCGACTAGGTGTGATCGATAACTTAGCCAGTGAACATCAAAAGTTAAGTGACGGACAGTCAAAACTTGAGAGCCTGATCAACCGACAGAGCGAGCAAATAACGTCATTGCTGACAGAAAAGGAGGAGTCCCAGGTGCACTTGTCTAATCAGCAACAACAACTCAACTTCCAGCATAACTCTATCCTGATGTTACAGGAGAGCATGGAAAAGTTACAACAGCAGCTGGAAAGCCAGGCCGAGCAGAACGTTATTGGGATCTACCCATCCGAGCAGCACCATCGTGCAAGGCGCGGGGCACCCTCCAAACAACCGGTATACTACAGACCTTTTAATTCCACTGGCAAACCAGAGAACTCCAAAAACGCTTTTTGGAAGCACCCACAGGATAACCGAGGTAGACATAAGTAACAATGTTAATTAAAGCCTGAAATAATTTAGTATCCTTACAGACAGACCATCGTGTTTCCTGTTGCACTTACTCAAGTTCTAAGCGTCCCGGAGATGGTTGACGACACTAGAGACAAGAACATTAATTTCTTTGAAAAAAAAATCTGCTGAATCCTAGACATTATTATTGAAACAGACAACGGTACATTTGTTGACAAAACAACCACAATTATCAACGGTACGAGTCTTCTGTGATATCAATGGTACGAGTGAGTGTATGTTTACAGAAGACGAAATGGTTATATCATAACGCCAATAAATATGAGAGTAGGTAGGTGTGATTTGACGAATAAGAATACTTCTTACAATATAAATCACAATCACGGTATTTAAACATTGACCTTTCCTGACATAAATCGACTTAGGAAGGATAGAAAGATTCATTAATCCTAGGCTCTAGATCATAAAGTCACGAACGTTTTGGACAACGATGTGCTTAATCAATTGACAGTATCTAGTCTAGACATTGTGTAAACATGAAATATATTGGACATGTATGAGCTTACATATATCTCTCGCTATATTCCAGTCATTAGTGTGCTCTGTGTAATATTTACTGTGTAAAGGCTTTATGTAGCAATATTTTATGAGTAAAGAATACTTATCTTCATCATTTTATAGAGATTGGAATAAAATAAAAATATCATAATTACCATGTCCTTTTCAGTTCTTTGATTTTGATAATTTTGATACAGTTAAGGGTACATCCTGTATTACATACAGGAACTGCACCACCTTACATTATTGTGAATGTTGGTAAAAAATTTTAAGCTGCTTTATATTGAGATGGAAAGGCCCGTAGAATACTGACTTTACTGTCAGTTACATACAGTATATACATAGCATACTGACTTTACTGTCAGTTACATACAGTATACACCATAGCATATTGACTTTACTGTCAGTTACATACAGTTTATAGTATAGCATACTGACTTTACTGTCAGTTACATACAGCATATACATAGCATACTGACTTTACTGTCAGTTACATACAGTATATACATAGCATACTAAGTTTACTGTCAGTTACATACAGTTTATACCATAGCATGCTGACTTTCCTGTCAGTTACATACAGTATATACATAGCATACTGACTTTACTGTCAGTTACATACAGTATATACATAGCATACTGACTTTACTGTCAGTTACATACAGTATATACATAGCATACTAAATTTACTGTCAGTTACATACAGTTTATACCATAGCATACTGACTTTCCTGTCAGTTACATACAGTATATACATAGCATACTGACTTTACTGTCAGTTACATACAGTTTATACCATAGCATACTAAATTTACTGTCAGTTACATACAGTTTATAAAGTCATCATTACATGTACTTGTCTGTCTTTAATTAATCATCATTAAAAATAAGATACAGATCAATTTTGTTTAAATTTAAAAACAAGTATTTTAGACATGCTGTTTCAATATGCATTTCGTGAATTTTATTCAAATAAATATTTGTTAAACTTAAAATTTCGAATTTTCTGACATTGGGCACGAGTTTACATTTCCATGTTGATGATGTGTATTGTGAATAGATTACTACTGAATGTTGTCAGTGATATCTTACCTAACCACTATGCTGTTAGGCTAAGATAGTGATAAAAAAACAAAAACACTTCCATTCCTTCATCAATTTTATTGATATTCATCAGCTTTGAGATATTAAAAAGCCCTCATCCTAAAGATAATGATTCTTTCAGCTTCTCATATTTTGCCTGATCCTGTAAAAGAGAAAATATACATATTATTAGAAGTATCACTTCATTTCATGGATACAACTACAAGCAAGAAAGCAAAGGATTTTTCACAAATCTCTCCATAATACTACTTCATTTCTTCAATGAAATCTGGATATGCACTGTACCTTTGTTGATACTGAGGGCTGGACTCTCGTGAAGGCCATTTCAAAGTGTTGCTTAGTAACAATTAGGGAAGGCTTGTCATTTCCGGTAGAATTGATGATTGCTCTTAGTGAACAAACAGATGCCTCTCTCACCAATGCAGCCAAGTCTGCACCACTGTAAATCAAGCATGACTGCATTCATGAAATTCAAACCCCATAGAAAATAATTCATGACTTATACAATTTGAAACAGAAAATCAAATCGCAATTTTAAAGAATTGATAGACTCTAAAACCTATGTATAGATGAAGTTTAACAGGAACTTCAGATTGAAAAGGGAATACCATAGGATTCAGAAAACATTGAGAAGCAGGCGAAATATATCAAATGAGGTACGTTTAAAATGACTTCACCTTCTAACCTCTATATAACAAAATGCTTTCCAATACCTAACTAACACCAATGAAATATTTAATGTAAAAGTATATTTTATCAATTCAATATTTTTTCATATTTCATAAAGTACAGAAAAATGAAAATTGAAGTATGCTTCCAAATTCAAATTCCACAGCCTGTACTTGCAAACCAGTTTTGAGGATAAGGTATGATTTTCAAAAACACTAAATCTTTTGTGGATCACAAGTCTTACTTGCATATCATGTACTGAACTGGCGTCAACAAAATACAACCTTTAACATTAGTAAGAGTTGTCATTACGGGGCTTGTCAGTATGCATGCTTGCTATATCTTACGAAATGAGAACAATTCAAAACAAATATCAACAATTAAATATCCCACGCAAATGAGTTTTGTGAGGCACAACATATGTGTATATTAAGTGTTTGTGGAAGGGTTTACATACGTATAGCGCTGACACCTCTGATCGTTGGCGACCTCTTCTAAATTCACATCCTCCTCTAGTTTCGGTTTTGTTCCCTTCTATTTCCAACATAAAGAGTAAACATTGATTTAGTTCCAATCAACAGCTGCAGCATACTTAATGCCCTACATCAGAGCTAATGACAGCTGTGGCCTACTTAATGCCCTACATCAGAGCTAATGACAGCTGTGGCCTACTTAATGTCCTACATCTGAGCTTATGACAGCTGTGGCCTACTTAATGCCCTACATCAGAGCTAACGACAGCGGCAGTCTACTTAACACTCTACATCAGAGCTAATGACAGCGGCAGTCTACTTAACGCCCTACATCAGATTATCAAGGATGAACAGCTATAAGAGTTGATTTCAATATCAACTTTTACCTAAGTGAGAAAATAATTTCTCTTCACTTTCTACATTTATTTTTTTTGACAAGCAAATGAAAGAAACATGTCCACTTAAGTTGAAAATACAAAAAGATAAAATTTGAAATCAACAGGGAATATTTCACACAACACATCAATAGATATCAAACAATTCTCATTAAATAATATTTTTCCCTCTATAAAAAATGTGATAACATATAAACTTATCAAAAATAATTTGTCAGGAATATTAATGCCTTGCCCCACATTGTAGTTATTGGTAAAATGGAGTTATTCCCTTCACTGTGTTTTGAAAGGTCACCTGCAAAGTAGGAATATATTCCCTTCTCTACTCAAGAGTCAGTGTTCTCCTGAATGAGGGTACAAAACCCTCAAATTGGTTAAATTCAAGACTTGTACCCCTCCCATTAAGATATATTGTTAGGGGTCACTGTACCCCTAGTTTCAAAGGCAAGGGGAAAACTGCAGAGTGGCAGGAGAAAATTTGGCAGTGTTCAACATTTCTTCACTATTTTTTATCAATTTGATGCAAGTTTAATTCTAAAACTTTAAAAATTTTAAATCAAATTTTCATTCAATGAAACAAGCTAAAAACAATCTTAACATGTTGGACATAATTTCAAAAAGGCTACATTGCCTTGTTACCAGTTAAATCCAACCAGTAAAATGTAGGGTAGAGTTGTTCTGTGTGTACCTACGCCACATACACAAGCAGTCAGGGTATCTAGATGTACGATCAGTACACAGAAAAACACCTGGTACATTAAATATCAGATATTTCTTATCGCTGTTTTTTTTATACATCATTATAAATTTCAATACAAGCTGGATCAGTTTCAATCTAACCTTTGTGATGGTCATCAAGATGTCCAGACGATCAGATGAATTAGGAAGTCCAACATAGATGGTCTTGTCCAGTCTGCCCGGTCGTAAGACAGCCGGATCAATTATATCTGACAGAATATGACAATTTAGGTTTTAGTTAATAATACCACACTATAAAAAGTCACATCAATCACATCAGAATGATAGATTGAATTTTCTTACCAAGTGAAGAATCAGTTTTATCTCAGGGGAAAAAAGTTATACAAAATCTTTGGTAAAAAACATAGGGTAAGAAAGCAACGAAATGACACTGAAAACACAAGCTTATTACTACATACATGATTGTTAATGGAAGTCTGGAGGCATAATAGCAAAACAGTGGCAGAACCTATCTTGATAGTAGGTAATGGTATAATCAGCAAAACATTGTATTTTCTATTATTCACCTGGGTGGATTATAGTAAAGTGTGGGTACTTAACTGGTCTCTTGCTGCTATGTGCTTAGTGCAAGGGTAGGGGTACAATAAGGCCGAGGGGTCGTCTTCTAAGTTATACTTTATGAACAGGTCAGGTAGTATAAATGACCACTCTCTACTTCTGTATCCCACTCTATTCCATCACTTCCTAATTTTTACTTTCTACTCATTTACTATTTTCTCTCATTCAGTGAAAGCCGAAAGGCCGTAATAGTGGACACAAAACCCGTTAAATAAATAGTTTGAGTAAGATATGAAGTTTACATGACTGACGAGTGAAGAAATCACCAAACATACTGTGAACTGAACCATTGCCTGTATTGTCTGTTCACTATATAAAGAGTAACAATGAAATGAACTTTTAACACACCTGACCTTCAGGTAAATTCAAATCAAAATATAATCATAATATAATAAGTCAACAGAGTAATGATACTAGATTGAGAACAAGACATGATAAAATGCAATGGTTAACATTATAACCACAGAAGATGTATGTCTGTATTACCTGGTCTGTTTGTAGCTGCCATGATAAACACTTGCTTCCTTTCCTCCAGACCATCCATCTCTGTTAAAAGTTGATTCACGACTCGTACACTGGATCCACCCTGTAACACATGTATACATTGATGTTAAAATTGTAAGACACCAACACCAGTTACGCAAACCCACAGCTACAAAATATCGATGTTTTCACTAAGAAAAAAGGCAGATTGTTGGAAACAACTACTTTATTAGCAATTTTATTGATGTTTTCACTAAGGAAAAATGGCGGATTGTTGGAAACAACTACTTTATTATCAATTTTATCCAAAGTACTCAGAAATAGGCCATTCCTGCTGAGAAATGAATAAACTTGTCTGGAAGTATGTCAGGGATATTCCAGTGGATATTATACCCAATGGGAGGACTCCAGGTTCATCAAATGGGAACCACTCATAGAAGTGAAGAAGTTCAAACAGTACCAGCTGATAGTAAGCTGCCTTTTCTGTAGCACCCACAATGAATAGATTTTATTTATATCTGGAGCCCTACTGCTGTATTTGTATTTTACTGAATTACCCTTAATCATGTCAAGAATAAGAAAAGCAGTTGTCTGTTTCATCAGCAATTGCATCATTAAGATACCACATCCTAATTGTTTGAAGGTTTGGACATATTGGAATGTTTTATGCCAGTGACAGTTGTTTCAGCAATTTTCGTGGAAAACTGTCAAAGATTCAGGCAACAAAATCAGTTGACAAATAGATACATTCTGCATTTGTACACATTCTATACAACAGTGACCAAGACAGACATACAGCAAAATGTCAGAATTTGATAAAGAAAACTTGTCATAAACATGTATTAGTTATCAAAGACAAAATACTACCAATGATCAGAATCAATACTAAGAAATATAGGATAATTACAGCAGCTTTTTGTTCTACTGATACCTAGCATTTTTTCTCTAGACTTACCTCCCCACTATCAGTTCTTCGTGGACAAAGGGCATCTAATTCATCAAAGAATATTACACAAGGTGATGAGTTCCTGGCTCGCTGGAATACCTGTCTGACGGCCCGCTCACTCTCTCCTACATACTGAAGTATCAATACTATTATCAGTGACTAAGGGTAAAGAGAAGATTGGACAAATGTGATCTCAACTTATTACTGTACAAACAAAATTTTCATGTGTCAATACTTTTGTATACCAATATAATGACCTGAACCAAGCTGAATTGGGTATTTTAAGACTATTACATTTGAATATATTCAAATGTCTTTTTAAAATTTATGAATTAACAAGTGAAAATCAGAGAAATATGTCCTTGCTTCCATTTTATGTAAACATGTCATTACACAATCAAACAATTAACACAAAGTATAACCAGAATGGGACTGACGTATAGGACAGATGTACACACACATCTCTGGCAATTTAATCCTAACAACCAAACATACCATGTTTAGAAGCTCTGGTCCCTTGACTGAGATAAAGTTTATTCCAGATTCATTTGCAACCGCCTAAAATCCAAATCAAACAGATTAATTAGTGTTTATACAGCTGTATGTGCAGAACAGACACTTATCTAACAGAAGAAATCTTCAACAAGGATGCATGAGTTAAAGTGACCTTAAGATTACTAATGCTTTTTGTGGAGTATAATTTACATTTCAACTGTTCATCAACGTCAGAGGTTTCAATAACCAAATTATATGATGAGAATGGTCTACTCTTCTTATATATGATTTTCTGTTGAGAATATAAAGCATACCTTAGCTAGGAGAGTTTTTCCACAGCCTGGGGGCCCTGCCAGCAGGATCCCCTGGGCTCTATTCAGCCCCAGTTCATGGAATGCATCAGAATGTTTCACAGGTGCCTGTAACAATGATTTTGTGTAATATCGAAAGAAATGCTTTCATATTAATTTTGATAATTGCTTTTAGTGGAATTAACACCTAAGAAATGTTTATTTTCATTATAACCATTGTGAATTCATAAATATAACATATATCTCTTCATATACAATTGAACAAATATATCATAGAGATTTCATTATCACTGACATGTCACGATTCACAATAATACTCACTGCATTGTCTTTTGAAACAATTGCACACTGATAAGCACACATGCTATGAGAATGTACTGCTCTCCTACTTGTGACATAGTCCATACATCAATTGCTTGATTAGAAAAGTATAACTCACAAGAATGGCAAGTTGTAGATCTTCCCGAACACTATGAAGTGCACCAATGTCATTCCAGGTCACATCAGGGATGGTAGCAAAGCCTTCCCTCTTGGCTGATGGTTGAACATGTTTCAGAGCTTCCTAAATACAGACATGATTTCTGTGATATATTGACAGGGTAATAATGTGAATCACCAATAAATAAAATTTTATAATCAGGAACAACTACAAAACATAAAACTCTATTTGTTACAGGCTGTCAATGACACTAAAGAATCAACGTTGAGATAGTGGATCTGAGCCTGTAGAAAACACTGCAAGAATGTAGTACACAGTGATAAGTCATTCCTGCAGGACTAACCAAACGTTGTCTTGTGTTCAGGTTCTGTCACATATACACACTTGTGTCTTTTGTACAAACTTTGTATTGAAAGGAGCTATTCGCTTGTGTCTTTTGTACAAACTTTGTATTGAAAGGAGCTATTCACTTGTGGCTTTTGTACAAACTTTGTATTGAAAGAAGCTATCAGTAGGTAAAACTATATGCTCTCTCTCTATAAAATTGCAGTGGCATAAAAATAATTTTGTTACTAATAACAGGATATTAGCAGTACCAAGAAGTCTTCCATTGTGATGAAGAGGTCCTCCATCTGCTGTGGGGTTAGGGGAGGATGATCCTTTAGCCAACTCAGCACTGAAACAAAGGAAGTCAGACAGACTTTAAATCATGTACTGGTTAACACATTCATCAAATTATGTACTGGTTAACATATTCATCAAATTATGTACTGGTTAACATATTTATCAAATTATGAACTGGTTAACGTATTTATCAAATTATGAACTGGTTAACATATTCAACAAATTATGAACTGGTAAACGTATTTATCAAATTATGAACTGGTTAACATATTCATCAAATTATGTACTGGTTAACATATTTATCAAATTATGAACTGGTTAACATATTTATCAAATTATGTACTGGTTAACATATTCATCAAATTATGTACTGGTTAACATATTCATCAAATTATGAACTGGTTAACGTATTTATCAAATTATGAACTGGTTAACATATCCATCAAATTATGAACTGGTTAACATATTTATCAAATTATGAACTGGTTAACATATTCATCAAATTATGTACTGGTTAACATATTTATCAAATTATGAACTGGTTAACATATTTATCAAATTATGTACTGGTTAACATATTTATCAAATTATGAACTGGTTAACATATCCATCAAATTATGTACTGGTTAACATATTCATCAAATTATGAACTGGTTAACATATTTATCAAATTATGAACTGGTTAACATATTCATCAAATTATGTACTGGTTAACATATTCATCAAATTATGAACTGGTTAACATATTCATTGAATTATGTACTGGTTAACATATTTATCAAATTATGAACTGGTTAACGTATTTATCAAATTATGAACTGGTTAACATATTCATCAAATTATGTACTGGTTAACATATTTATCAAATTATGAACTGGTTAACATATCCATCAAATTATGTACTGGTTAACATATTCATCAAATTATGTACTGGTTAACATATTTATCAAATTATGAACTGGTTAACATATTCATCAAATTATGAACTGGTTAACATATTCATCAAATTATGTACTGGTTAACATATTTATCAAATTATGAACTGGTTAACATATCCATCAAATTATGTACTGGTTAACATATTTATCAAATTATGAACTGGTTAACATATTTATCAAATTATGAACTGGTTAACATATTTATCAAATTATGAACTGGTTAACATATTCATCAAATTATGTACTGGTTAACATATTTATCAAATTATGAACTGGTTAACATATTCATCAAATTATGAACTGGTTAACATATTTATCAAATTATGAACTGGTTAACATATTTATCAAATTATGTACTGGTTAACATATCCATCAAATTATGTACTGGTTAACATATTTATCAAATTATGAACTGGTTAACGTATTTATCAAATTATGAACTGGTTAACATATTCATCAAATTATGTACTGGTTAACATATTTATCAAATTATGAACTGGTTAACGTATTTATCAAATTATGAACTGGTTAACATATTCATTGAATTATGTACTGGTTAACATATTCATCAAATTATGTACTGGTTAACATATTTATCAAATTATGAACTGGTTAACATATTTATCAAATTATGAACTGGTTAACATATTCATCAAATTATGTACTGGTTAACATATTTATCAAATTATGAACTGGTTAACATATCCATCAAATTATGTACTGGTTAACATATTTATCAAATTATGAACTGGTTAACATATTTATCAAATTATGAACTGGTTAACATATTTATCAAATTATGAACTGGTTAACATATTCATCAAATTATGTACTGGTTAACATATTTATCAAATTATGTACTGGTTAACATATTCATCAAATTATGAACTGGTTAACGTATTTATCAAATTATGATCTGGTTAACGTATTTATCAAATTATGAACTGGTTATCATATTCATTGAATTATGTACTGGTTAATGCTTTCATCAAATTACAAGGACTGACTGATAAGTTGTGAGCCTCATATTTAAGGGTTTCACTTTTGGTGGACATATTGCATTATTTTTCAACATTATCCCTTAAGTATCTATACACTTTTGCCAGCAATGTTTAAGGGCCTCAGTTCAACTTTTAAAGAAATCCTTTGCTTGACCATTCAGAAAGTCCTCTGCTGCATGTATGACATCATCATCTGACCAAAAGCGGTTACCGGAAATGTCTTTTTTCAATTTTGGAAAGAGATAAATGTCTGATGAGTGAACCAGGCTGCTTTCATTGTAGAGACTGTTGTTTGGCCTTTGAGTTGAAATGATTGACCCATGTTTCCTCCATAGTCACAGGATCTGCCTCTAAATGGCAGAGCTCTCGACCTGCCAGATTTGGGGGCCGATATTCAGCCCCATTCCCAATGCAAAATAGTATCTTTTTTTCCCAATTTAGACCCCAAGTTTTACCAATTCTAAGGAAAACACCATTATTTTTCCCAATTCAAAGGGCCCCGGGCCCCAGTCCCTAAATGGGGTGTGAGACATGAAAGGTTCAGATTAGCACACAACAAAGTTTACCTGGTGTGCTTCTGATCAACAGTCAAAAGTCTTGGTACCCAAATGGCTGAGGACTTTCTGATTGCAAAATGTGCTGTAAGAATGGAGTGTACTCTTTCCTGTGAAATTTCAACTGTACTGAATATATATCTCTCTGTAACTTGTCTGTCAGTCATAACAATATCATGAACTTTATTGACCATTTCAGAGGTTGCAACAGTGACAGGACTTCCAGGACAAGTGTTATCCACAAGGCTCTGTCTGCCCTGCTTGAATTCAGCCACCCACCTTTTAACTGTAGCAAATCAAGGGGCACCATTCTCTAGTGTTGCTACCATAACAGTATGAATATTATTAGGTGTTACACATTTTTATGCAGATATTGAATCACTGTTTTTTCAGCAATTTTGCCTTTTTTGTAAAAGTCTCTTGCCTTGTTTATTTAGAGTGCTACCTCTTCGACATAAATTGACCAAATGACACCAGTCTTGAGTACACAGCATTTAGTAGCCATGGAATAGTAGAGCTGAAAAAGGACATCGCTGCTTAACTTCTTCAATACAAAGTTCACAGCTTATTGATCAGCCCTCTTATGTACTAGTTAATGCATTCATCAAAATATGTACTCAGTAATGCCTCAGCTAACACCTATGTAATGTAGGATCAGGCAATACTGCACCTGTTTGTAATTCTGCAGTGGTATCTTTCTGTGTGTTTGCTGTTAAATCAGGGGTAGAATCACTTGAGCCTATCTCCATGGAAACATCTGTTTCTCCCTCCTTCATGGTGTCTGTCTGTGCCTCCTTCGTGGTATCACTGGGTGTGATGTTACTGACTACAATGTGACTTGGTGCTGGGTGACTGTCTGGCATGTCATTAGGTATGGGGTCACTTTCAGGAATATGAGTCAGTGAGGTGGGCGTTCTTTTAAGAGCCTGTAGCTCCTGAAACACTCTAAAGGATACAAAAAAACCAGTAAGTTTCTGTATGTGTATTTTAGACTTTTACAGACATAATCTCGGCTAAGGCAAAAGCCATCAGTTCAAGCATTTGACATTAACAACTTACACTGAGGTAGAGGAAACAGAAGGCCTAGATAAAAATCTAGAGTTAAGGTAGTCTTCATAACAGAGCATTGTTTAACTACATAGTTATAGTAGGGATTTATCTAAGTAGAATTGGCCTAACTTTCAGATTTTGTTTAGGTTTTTAGATTTCAATCTGAAGATACAAGGGATAATTACTTTTACAATGTATCTGCCATCTGTACATTTATCTTTAAACACTAAGTCAACACAATTACTTTCACAACATATCTGCCATCTGTGCATTCATCTTTAAGTATTTCGTCAACACAATTACACATTTCATGCCAGTTTGATTTGTTTTGTCTACTTCCTTCTACAGACGTTGGAGCCTGGAGTTACAATATTGCCTGTACATTATATTTAAGAAGTACAATATACCATACAGAGAAATTCACTTTGTAATCTGTTTACTTAAGGGTCAGTATGAAAGTGAGTACAATATGAATATGATGGAAATCAATTACATCCATTACATCTGGTAAATTCAGATTGATACTGTAAGAACAGAAATTTGAAAACTGAACAGTGAAGTCTAAAATTTGCAACATAAAATATCATTTTTAGCGTTGCAATAAGGCTTTCACCTACCTGTTAACAGCAGTCATTGACGCCTCTCTAGCTAGGGACATGAGATCTGCTCCTACATATCCAGGTGTATTTTTAGCCAGGAAGTCAAAATCAAAATTCTCTGTCAGTTTCAATTCTCTACACAGAACTAATAGTATTCTGTAAAGCAATAAAATATTGATATTAATTTGTTGATTTTCAACAGTAATATACTATGTAGTAGGACTAGACAGCAATACTTGTAATTTAGCAAAGCGCTGTAAAACATGTAACAAAACTAAGGGATATGCTGTCAAGATAATAAAAATTTGGTTAATAGATGAAAGTTGAAGAAAAGAGAGAGAGAGAAGAGAGAGTATGCAACACTAGTTACCAAACTACAAAAGAGCATTTTTTAAAAGAGATTATTGTGATATATGCTCTGGAAACCAAAAGATTAGTGATTTTGGACGTCTCCATGGTTTGGATGTCTCCATGGTAACTGGAAAATGTAGGAAAGGAAAGTACTTTTTTTTATTAGGAAAGGAATGACAAGAGCACAAGGTTTTGAGAGATATATTCGAGAAGCATTATAAAAGGATGCTTAAACGGAACCCATTGGTGATGTAACTTCACTTAACTTTGTTTGATGGGGATAAGAAAGTAGACCAGACTTTGATCTAATCTTTAATTACCGTTTCCTGGCTTTTTCATCCGGAATACCCAAACAAATTTCTCTATCAAATCGTCCAGCCCTTCTGAGAGCAGGATCAATTGAGTCAGGTCTATTTGTTGCTCCAATCACCAGCACATGGGAACTGACTTTACTACCAAGATCTGAAGTAGAAGGAGGACTCAAATACCACAATAATTCCTTCACAAGATATTGAAAGAAGAAATCTAAATCAACATATTTATCACACATGTCAAAATTATGAAATGGAAAAAAAAACCCTTTCAACACCAGAGAACAGGAAACAGAACTTAACACCTACCGTCCATACTGGTAAGCAGCTGAGCAACAATGCGACGCTCCATATCCTTGGAGGCTGTCTCTCGTTTTGGTGAAATGGCATCAATTTCATCAATAAACACAATGCATGGTGCAGACATCTGCAGAACAAAGACATTGTGTATTTGTACAATTTTTTCTAAATTATTTTACATGTACCTGGGTACATACAACATGTGACACATACCAAGTACATATATCTATCAATTAACATAGTAATTCATACAAGTACTGCAAAAGTATGTTTATTAAACTTTTTTCTGCAGGATTTTCAAATTTTGAGAAAAAATACTCTATGTTGAATTTTGAACAGACAATCATGATAAATCTTTCAATAATTTTCTTAATAACCCTTGTATGATGAGTCTTGAATGTGAAAATTAACACTTGAATATCTTGTATATCACTTTAGGTTAGCAGACCCAATATGAAGGCATCCCAAAACTGGTTAAAAAGTGAACAAGAAGCCCATAGGGCCTGTATCGGGTATTTCAAATACTTTTAATTAAAGCACAGTCAATTAACATCTTTGATGAGGCAAGACCAGTGGAAAAATTCTTATATCATGACTGTCTCTCTCTTATGAGTTATAATATTTATATGGTTATCACGTTGGTACCTCAACTATATCAAAAATACTATCCAGAAATAATGTCCCTTGAGGTGTGCTACACCCAAGGATCAATTCTTACATAAACAAATGTGTTTATCTCTTGATGCCAAGCAATTCTATATAATGCTATAAATGGTTATGGGATAAGGATCTCAACTATTTTCAATCACAATTCCCCTATTGAGCCCATCTCTTCTGTTCTAGGGAGCAGAGATCCATCATTTATACAAAATTGATTCCTTTATACCAAAACATGATTCACACCAAATTTGGGAAAATGAAATTATTCCTATCAGAGGATTAGAATTTCAAAGAATTTATTCTATTTCCCCTTTTAGGCCCTGCCCCTTCCATTCCAAGGGGTCAAGATCCATCATTTTAACAAAATGGATTCCATTTCACCTAAATATGAATGAGACAAGAGCCAATTATTCATAAGGGAAGAGCAGGATTTTAAAGCATTTGTTTTTTTTCTCTCTATTGGGTCTTGCACCTTGTGCCACAGGGGGGCCCAAGATCCAATGTTTATACAAAACTGAATCCTCTTCACCCAAACATGATTGACACCAAATTAGGACAAAATCCAATCATTCCCCTCTGGGTTAGGTGATATGAAAATGTTATTAAGTCTACAAAATTATCTGGCACAAAGGTTAAACAGACAATTACAAACACGTTCTTGTTGACATGATCCAGCAGACTATGTCTACCCTCAAAATTAAAGTGGCATCTTAGGTATACAAATGTATTGTATGAGTGTAATAAGTGTTTTATTTAGGTTTCTTCCACATTTCAGAAATAAATGCAGTAAAAGCTGGATCAAACTTTAAAACATGTTGAGATATGTTGAGTTTTAATTCTCATCGACATATCACCTGGCAAGGTACTAATCACTGTCATATGCAGGCAAGTACATGATGTATCAATTCACGACATCATTATCTTTATAAAACACTCACCACAGCTTTATCAAACAGATCTCTGATCTTCTCTTCTGATTCTCCTGACACACCTGATACCACTTCAGTGGCTGCTATCTTGATGAAAGGCAAACCTAATTCCTAGTCAAAACAGAAAATTAATGCAAAAATACATTCACATGAAACAATTCCTCACAGAATTATTACAATATTATCTAAATTTTCATTATTTTTTTTTTCAAATGAACAGCAAATAATGCTATGTTTTTTTAAATGATGTTTAGTGTAGCATGGTGCAGTAATTAATATTGATTTACTTACATACCTAAGCCTACACAACATTTTTAACAGCATGATGATCGCGCTTACATAGCAGTGTTCTGTTGTTTATGTACAACACCAGTGATTCCATCATCTTATCTATGCTTCAATCATATAATATGTAATTAAAAAGATAAAATCAACAAATGTTTGCTAACATTTTGAGGCCCAGCCAGTTTTGAGTAAGTCTTGCTTTAACAAGTGAAATAAAAGTTCATCAAAAGTTTTATATCAGTCACTCAGTAACTACATCTCAAATACATTATATATACATACTTCATACAAGACCTAATTATGACAAGGTTAACAAGGCTTAAACAACACTGACCCCAGCAATGGCATTAGCCAACAGAGTCTTGCCACAGCCTGGAGGCCCATGGAGGAGGAATCCACGGGGTGGTGTCACACCTAATTGCTGGTAAACCTCTGGGTGTTTCATATGGACAAGCAGCTTACACACCTCCTGCATTAAACATTAACTCAGTGTTAACTCACTGTTCTACAATTCCTACATAAAACATTAACTCGCTGTTATCTCACCATTGCCCACAACTTGGATAAACATTTACTCAGTGTTCACTAACTGTCACACACTTTCTGCATAAAACATTAACTCAGTGTTGACTCACTGTTACAAACTTCCTGCATAAAACATTAACTTGCTGTTAACTCACACATTGTAACAGTGAAGAGTTAAAACTGAGTGTTAGTCTTTGACTACTGATGATATGTCTATTAAATTGACTGATGCAACAGACAACATAAAGCTATTAAAAATTTGTTGAAATGTAACATTACTGTACATCAGATTTCCTCCAAAATGAGCAGGGGTCAGTAAATATGTTCAAAATGTGATAAAAAATGTCTTCAATATTCCAGTATCAAAGTTAAGAATGATTGATTATTTGACCAAATACTGAAAATACCATTGTACCCATATTTTTCTTAAGGAAATTTCATAATTTATTACAATTTATATCAAAAGAAATCATTGTTAGCCAAACTTAATTACCATCAAACATTCTTCATTTCCACCAAAGTCTGCAAAGGATGCTGACGACATCTGTACCTCTGGTGCTAATAAAAAAAATGATACAATCATTGGTATGTCTGTTTGAAAAGTCAAGCATCCACAAATTCTGCATGATTCTGTATTGATATGGAAGGATAATGTCCTAATTATCTAAAATATATTTATTATCATATAAATGGCCGATTCTGATATATCACACCATATCTCTCATGCCCTTTTCCAGGAGCTATGTCTGGCCAAATATGAGCCCCATTCCTAATTTTATTTACTTCATAACATGGCCAAATTCCCAAAACATATAGTTTTCTTCCATAAAATATCCTGCAATATTTATCATTTCCCCCAAAATGAGAAAAAATACCCATTCCCAGATAAGTGGAAAAATGCCCTGTCTCCTGCAGACTAGTTATTGTCAAACAGTATAAATAGCTAATTTTGATTCATTACAATATATAAATTCTTATTCCTATACTTTACTACCGATGAAGGGAAGGTGTGAACGTTTCAAGTACTGTAGTACTGAACAAAGTATTGATAGTATTGTACTGAAGTACTTCACCAATCGAATTCCTTAAATTTATGCAACAAGCTCTCTGATTGGCAGAGCCAAGTCTAGATCGATTGTGGGTGGAGCCAGGTGAAAAAATACTGTGCAGACATCGGCATTTTACAAACACTCGACTGTCGCAAGAGGTTAATTGGAAGAGTCCAAGTCACAGGTGGCTTCAGATCAAACCTAATTGGGTTGTCCCATTTTTTTCGTTCTACACCCAATGATACCTTGCTTTTTCCATCGATGGCACCGGAGAATTCATAATATCTTAACAGTGAATATAGTCATATAGTCATTCTGTACTAGTTTTTATTTATTTTTTTTGAAAGGGGGGGGGGGAAGGGTTGGCTCAAAATATTTCGGTTTAAGCCCAAGCTCTATTATATGTAACAAAGAATTACGAATAACCTGGGACCTCCTGATATATGCCGATAATTTACTACTGCAAGTTCTAGAAATTCTGACACAAGTCGGGTATTTGCCCGAAGCCTCTGTCTCATGACATTGAATACATATTCAGTTACGTTGTATTCCGGGGAATAAGGCGGCTGAAAAACCAGGGACACGCCATATTCTTTCAGCATATTTCTTAAAATGCGCTCTCCCTGTCTATGGTGATGGAATCCACAATTATCCATCACAACCACATCGCCTTGTACAAAAACAGGATTCCCCATATCGTTCGTATCGGACATAATTTCGTCAAAGAAAATTTTGCGTACTGTTGCCGTCGTCGGACATTTTTCCAGCGATTACTTAGTAATTGTTATGTAACTGATAGTGTACAATAACTCCGCCTACCGGAACAAATTGGGTGTCAGATCAACTATTCAGGTTGTCTAAACTCCGCCCCCGACCAATCACAGAGGTCGTTGTATACTTGACTCGATTATTTGAATACTTCAATACAATAGTATCAATACTTTGTTCAATACTATAGTAAGTGTGTCGTTCACACCTTCCCTTCATCGGTAGTAATGATAAACAATCAATACTTTACCTTTGCTTTTTTTAGTTCGACTTTCATCATCACTATCATCTTTCTTTTTTCGTTTCTTTACAATCTACAATAAGGAAAAAATTAAAATTTTACAGAGGAGTACACAGAGTTTATGGAGCATAAGATAATCAGAAGAAAAAAAAAAGAGTTCTTCTGTAAATCTAATTGGAATTTACAATTATAAAATATTCATAATATTAAACTACCTAAAAACATAACCAGATAATTGTGAAAGATGACCTGCATGCAATATTTTATCTATAGGACAAAAAATACACTACATTTTTGTTCCAAGAAATCTTTAATCTATAACCTACGATGTCAACATCTATCCCCATGCTAACCCACCTTTTTTGCAGTTCCTTCCTTCCTACCATCCTTTTTAGTCTGCTGGTCAGCCAAAACATTAACATCACTAGTATCAGTACCTGTTTTTATTTTAGGTTTACCACGAAGTTTATCTATAGGCGTGGAGTTACTTCCCTTTGATCCTACACGGTCAAGAAAGAAAGTGGCACTACCACCATCCTCATCCATTTCTTCCAGAAATCCACTTTTATTTGTGCTTTCTTCATCCTCTTTTGATAAATATGAACAAGGAGAGTCTGTTAAGTCAATCTGGTTACAAAATGACATTCCAGAATCTTTTTTAGAAGTCTGTGAACTAGAATCATACCAAGGAGATGATGGTTTTGAGTTTCTCTCTTTACCAGGTACAGGTTTGGGGCTTTTCTGGTACAGACTGGTCATCATGCTGTTCATACAATTAGAATCCTGGAACATAAACAGAGGCCCAAACATCAGCCAACATATTTGTTTGACATATAAATAGTGTAATTACATGGTAACTGAAAGAAGCAAAAATGAATTAAGTCTGACATCTCAGGTTTGATAAAATTTACATGAAAACAATGAACTAATAATAGATATTGATAAACAATTAAATTGGGGACCTATTTGATATGTATGATGGTATATGTGATGTTTCAATTAATCAACAGTTTTGGGTAATGGTTGGTTACACCAGTTAACAAATTAATTGACTACAATCTCACATGCAATATCCACGTTGCCCTATCTTTAACAGAAAAAAGTCTTGAATCTTGATCCTGTCAAAAAACATCACAAAAAGATTGGGCGTCTGGTTGAATGAGACTAGTCAGCATCAGTGCGTATGTGTTTAATAAATATTATTTTCCACTGCATACAAGACAAATATAATAAAAATGGCAGTCAGTCAATTCTTCATAACTTTCCAAACGAGAAAGTGTGAAGTACATAACACTCTCACTTTTCCTTTTTGTTTATTTATGGTGTTATCAATATGATATTATCAATTTATAAAAAATGGAGATGTATATGTATAAAATCACAATCTTTTAATTGATATCACTTGCACCTGTATGAGAAGAATGTAGGATACAAATTTTCTGAATTGATTAAAAAAAATCTTATATGATATTTTACAAACCTCATATGATACATAGTTGTCAGGATTGGAAGAGAAACTTCTGCCTGAATCCGAGGAATCACCATCATCTTCAGGCAAACTGAAAATTTCATTAAGGTATAGCATGAAGACCAATCTTACACTTAATAACAATATAGCCTTGTATATAATGTGACTTGTTAATGTACAATAAACATTGTCCTACTCTCAGCCCTGGGTACAAAATAATTCTTGACTAAAGAAGGGAGAATGAGCTCTAAATATAAGTATTAACATTTCTGTATAACAGGAGGAAATGAGGATAAGATTATTATCAAGACTCACTGCAAGCTACGCATGATACACATCTACCTAAAATATGTAAAATTATGATCATTCTGTCATTCTATAGAGAGAGGCTTTTGGTTGTTAATTTGGAGTATTTAAGTCCAACCAAGAAATATATATTTAAAGGTTTATTCAATACCCCCAACTTGGGTGAAATCCCACAAGTACAAATATTAATGAAAGGTATTAATGGAAGAGAAATTACTTTCTAAGAATTCATCTAAATGAAAAACAAGTGATCCCAGAGGGATCTTGGCGCCCACCATTTGAGGATCTGTTTTCAGTTCTTGAAGATTTGTTTATTTTTGTTTTGTTTGTTACAGGTGTTGTAAATGTTCATGAACTGGTCTTCATTGAATGTACTCAATGATGGCACAAGATATTTTTATTAAGCACCTATTAGCAAATATCATTTGAAAAAGATCCCAAAGTATTATTAGATAGCAGTCAGTTACAGATGGATAATGGACAATATACTTGTGCTGTATTACTGTCGACATCCAAGATGGCTGCCTGTGGGCCACCTTGATTTCAAATCAGTCCAAAAAAGGTACAATGCACAACTTGGGACTAAGGGGAAACTGCATATGAAATTTGAGAAAGATCCATCCAGTACTTTCCAAGAAATAGCGGTAACAAAACTTTTACATCCAAAATCCAAGATGGCCACCTGTCGGCCATTTTGAGTTTGAATCAGTCCAAAAAAGGTACAATGCACAACTAGGGACCAAGGGGAAACCGCATATGGAATTTGAGAAAGATCTATCCAGTACTTTCCAAGAAATAGCAGTAACAAACTTTTACATCCAAAATACAAGATGGCCATCTTGAATTCGAATCAGTCCAAAAAGGTACAATGCACAACTAGGGACTAAGGGGAAACTGCATATGAAATTTGAGAAAGATCCATCCAGTGCTTTCCAAGAAATAGCAGTAACAAACTTTTACTTCCAAAATCCAAGATGGATGCCTGTCGGTCATCTTGAATTCGAATCAGTCCAAAAAAAGGTACAATGCACAACAAGGGACTAAAGGGAAACTGCATATGAAATTTGAGAAAGATCCATCCAGTACTTTCCAAGAAATAGCAGTAACAAACTTTTACTTCCAAAATCCAAGATGGATGCTTGTTGGTCATCTTGAATTCGAATCAGTCCAAAAAAGGTACAATGCACAACTAGGGACGAAGGGGAAACTGCATATGAAATTTGAGAAAGATCTATCCAGTACTTTCCAGAAATAGCGGTAACAAACTTTTACTTCCAAAATCCAAGATGGCCACCTGTCGGCCATCTTGAATGTGAATCAGTTCAAAAAAGGTACAATGCACAACTAGGGACCAAGGGGAACCTGCATATTAGATGGTGGGCTAATAATTGCAAAAAATGAACTATTCTGGGTATTGATCATCTATACTAAGGATTACCACTTGAATATGAGGATCTGTTAAACTGGGCAAAACTCCCAAGAAAAATACCAATACTCCAAAAATGCAATTAGTACACAAAACAAGAGTATCAGCAAAAATGATGAGTGCTCCCAGAAAACATCTTCATTAGATACAAAATTTTAACAAAGGGCAATAATTCTGTAATCAAGGGGTTGCGGGCCCTAACATTGGTATACTGCCCATTTTCTTAGTATAACCAATGCATACACCAAGTTAAATGATGGTTAAAGCAAACAAGCCTATGCTTATCACACAAAATTTCAACACAAGGGCAATAACTCTGTACTCAGGAGTAATAGGCCCTAACTTTGCTACACTGCACCTTGCTTTGTATGACTGATGTATAAATCATGCTTCAATATCCTAGTTTAAATGCAGGCAAAGTAATGCACTGCGCACAAAATTTAAACAAAGGGCAATAACTCTGTTTTTGGGGGTTGTCGGCCCTAACATTAGTACACTGTGCATTGTCCTCATATGATCAATGTATACGCCAATTTTCATTATCCTTCTTTAAATAAAGTTATGCTCCAGATGAAATATTTTAAACAAAGGGCAATAACTTTGTAACTGAAGGGTCCAGAGCCCTGAATTTGAGTCAATTCAAGTCATATTAATATGATCAATGCATACACCAAGTTTTATCAGTCATAGGTCCAATGCAAGCAAAGTTATACTCTGGACACAAAATTTTAATAAAGGGCAGTAACTCTGTAACTGAGGGGCTGAGTCTTGTATCCTCTTAGTATGACTGATGTCTACACCAACTTTCATGATCCTTGCTTAGCTGTGGGATTGCTTAGCTGTGGGCAAAGTTATGCTCCGGACATGAAAGGATGGACAAGGTGACAAATATACACTCCTATCAACAATTTCTAGGAGCATAATATAAATTCACAAAAATTGGATGACGGAATAAGGAGTTAAAAACTGTATATCCTATGATTACAAATTTTTTAACAATCATAAAAGTGTAACTTCTATCATTGTGAGTGTATAATAGACACATTCAATATTCTCTTTTTCAGTCAATATATTCTTGAAGTGAAAAAGATTTCACCGATGTAGAAAGAACTTTAGTCTCAGGATAATGAACTTTGACATCAATTCAAAATTTTATCATAATTATCTACATCATAGCATATACAAACATCTTAAAATCAGCACAAAGAACACTAAGTTAAGAATCTCCAGTCCTGTAAATATATCATCACCTCTGATTATTTGTTTTTTGTCTCTTTCGAAGGTGCTTGTCTTCAAGTTGACTAGTGTTGTCCATGCCTTCTTCCTTGCAGACAACTGCGTATGCTGTGGATTGTACAGACATACAAGATGAAAGGTTTAGTATGTGCATGTATATGTAAAATTATAACTTGTATATTTCATAAAAGAGAAAAATAAGAAAACTCCTCTTAACTATCAAACATTTTCATTTTTGAAATAAAAAGACTTTTTATTTTTTAACAAGTGAATGTATACAGCACTATTCATGTTATACCAAAACTACACCTAAGAAGAAGTTATAATGTAGCAAAACACAAATTCATTACATATGTATACTTGTACCTTTTTCAACTGACTTTGTGAAAGCATTTTTTTTCTTCCTAGCATACTCTCTGAAAAGAAAAGAATTAATTCAACATCTTAATTTACTAGATCTAGAACAATACGGATTAGAAAGAAACACATTTGCAAACTTATTTTAAATGTACTATTCATTCAGTTTGCAAATTGTTTTTTTCTTTCATAACAATATGAAACTATAAAAAATATTCATACCAAAGCTTAAATGGTATTAATGATAAATAAGCCATATCATTTATGAATGTTTATAAAGGTTTAATTGAGCTACTGAATATATGTATTATAATGCCCCTGATTTAACATAACAAAGTTTCAGTTGGCCCATGGACATTTAGATTTACATCTGTATTTTAAGCAATAAAATGTGCACATAAACAATGTGTATCACAGTGGTTAAGTCTGGGGCGATGCAGTGGTAAAGCCTTTCACCTAAACATCCAGGATTTGATTTCCAGGACAAACATGAAATGTTAAGGGGTTAACTGCCCGACCTTGTGGGTTTTCCCTGGGCACTCTGGTTTCTTCCCCCAGTAAGAGCCCTCTCACACTTCCATCCAGGCCAACAAAAGTAATTAATATAAGCTGATGGCTTGTTTTGTAATGGCTGTACAATAAATTAAGTTTATGAAAGCATTACCCGAATTGATTTTGTAAGTCATCTGCCATAACACTTGCAACAACAGGTTTCCTTGAGGCATTAGCATACTTGACATACTGAAACAGTGAATGGCATTCATTTATACTGCATCGTTATATATAAATCTCACATGTCATTACATTTAGAAGTACGTATCAGTACTTATATTGTTAAAAATGAATAAAGCATCGCTAACTGAGGACGTCGGATTTTGTTGTGATTGCACCTCCGTGTAAATAAACCCCTTCCGTTGTTGGAGTAGGTTAGTCTGTAGTTCATAAATCAGGAGACGCTTTTACTTGAAGTCAAATTGACGGATCCATTTAGATGGCTGCAATAACGTGACGTTTGCTGTTATGCTTTAACGACTTTACGACTTTTTTCCATTAAACATTAAAAGCCATGTTATTGATATCTTAAACATTTGCTTATTAAGCAAAAGACTGAAAAGTCAACATTATCAGATTAACTTCTGTAGCTTTTACATACCTGTCGAACTCGAGATAACAACCGCGGATCACTAAAATATTGCTTCTTTTGTTTCCTTTGGGACGACATAATCGATTAGTAACATGTGAAAACCTAATTCATTTGAAAATAATTGAAACACGACAAATCATAAATTTAAAACGGTACCCACGAGTTTCTATCCGGATACAGCAGAACACGCGTAAAATGCTTAAAGAAGCGGATGAAATTTCCGGAAATAACTTGGAAGAGGTAGAAACTAACTACGAAACTGACTCCGGAAGGGCTTACTAGTTGTCAGCTTTCGTAAAAATGGATGTCGGGTACATGTGTCGAATACTTCTAGGTTAAAAATTATTCAATCCAATTCGGAAATAGCCTGTTTTTTTTTTTTTTAGAAAAATAGTGATCTAGCTTACAAAAAAAACAGTCTCTTCTATTTATAGGGCATGTTTTGTACAGTCAGGGACTAGCCCAATGAAAACGGGGGATTTTGGCGTCTGCCTTTGTATGATCTTTATAAGTTCTTTATTAGTTTGATCTTTACCTTTTTTCTCTTAATTTCATTCACTTCATTATAAAAAAATGAGAATAATATCAAACCATCACTCCTCAAGAAATGACTTGTACATGTAAACTTTAAGTGTCCAAATCCAAGATAGCCACCTGCTCATCATTTTAATTCTCTCTCTTTCTGATCAGTCCCAAAATGAACTATGCAAAAAAGTTCATCAAATGGAAGAATTACAGGAAAGCATACATAGGCAATGATTATAACCCGCAATCACAAGACACTAGGTTACCAATCAGAGTCTACTACCAAAGTGGAACTAGATGTTAGTCTGAACAACAAACCAATACGGCAGTCAGTATCAGCCAACAGTTTGTTTACATGAGAGGTCTTATATTTTATAAACTGGTTAATTACACTAATTTGTGATATTTATATTCATATTCATTTAAGATACATTAATTCATTCTTTTATTATAATTACAGATACAATTCAACTATATTGTTTACTGGCAACAATTATAGAATGTCACACACGAGACCTCCGTTATAACGTCATGAAGACGCATGCCAATAATTTATGTACTTCAGGGGAATAATTTCTTACTTGTTATGCCCTGACCAAGCCCATAAGGGAGCACAACCTGTCAACAATAAGAAATAAATAGTGCCAACTTACTTTGAGCTTGTTGCAGCTGATATCCTACTTAATTCACCCTACTCCCCAACCACCCTGCATACCTGTTAGGTATCCAAGCGAGGAGTATAAAGAACACCCTTAACCAACACCAAAGCAACAGCATTGGCTTCACTCCTTGGGTTGTATGTTGATTACAAGGTGATACAAGTCTGATTTATGATTTCTATTTTCAAATAAAAGAAGCTGACAAGTGAATAGATACATTATATGTGGAAGATTTGAAAAAAAAAACACTTTAAATATCTTTTGTGAAAATGTTTTGAAAACAGAAACAAGAATGTAATTAATCAAAAACGATTGATTGAATGTTGTGATCTGTTTAATACAATATCTAGAAAACAGGTTTAAAATAATTTTTATTGAAAGCACAAAAGGCAACAAAAAAACGGTAAAACAGTCTGCCAAATAGATGCTATACAGAATCAGTATATACTATGATACTTAGTAAACATCTATAATTGATTCATCATGAAGATATCCATGTTGTCAAAAGTTTTATACAAAAAACAAAAATGCAATATGATTAGTAAAATGGAAACATCTATGATCAAGCTTCTGTATGAACTATATACAGCTATATCAAATGTTTAATATTATCACTAACAAACATATGTCCCTATAGTTTGAAAGATGCTAACAGACTTGTAATTCCACAGCTAGCCCTTGCTATAGGCATCTGCTGAAAATATGAAGATCCACTGCCCACTATTGCGACTAGCTATATGTGAATTTCTATAGCTGAGACTTATGTGATAAAGTGATGCCAAACCACCAACAGTTGTAAACAAAGTACTAAGAAAAATACATACAAGTAAAAATTTTCAAAACACTGAATATATCACAATGCACTAATTATTGTTGACAATTGATGAAAGTGAATTCAAACCACAATCAGCAACGGTTATTAATGCTGATTATTCAAAAGACTTGGAGTACAATCTTTCATTGGATAATCACTTTTAGTGTGTAGCCAACCTCTGTCCTTTACAAAATATGGAGTACAATCTTTCATTAGATAATCACTTTCGGATGTCACAAAATGTAAACATGTAAAGATTTTGATAAAACTTTTCTGTGGTACCCGAGACAAGGTTTGTAAATAGGCTGGTTCCAGAGATAAAGGAATTGTCATATATCCCTCTCTGTATAACACACAAAATATATAATAGACTGTTTCTGATTCGATATGGAACACAAACCAGCAATATATGTAGACTTTTTGGTATACATAGGAATCTCTGTCAATGGTTTTGATTTTACATTAATTTACAATAATCAGTGTATATATATATACCATGTGCATCAAAGATTGTATCCATTGTACTGAAAATCCTATCTCTGATTGATTTGACTAAAATCCTTGATTCCAGAAGATCTACATGAACAGTAAAATTTATGACTGTAATACATCAAAACATTTCTAGCCATGTTACTTATATCAAATAGTTCTATCTGCCTAAGTGTTAGTTTAATACAAGTAAAAAAATATATACAAAGAAAACACCAATGTTATCTGGCCCCACTTGTATAAAACATCTCAACTTGAGATTTCCTCAAGTCAAGATTTTCCTCAGCTGATATCTCCTCAAAAACGGCTTGCATAAAATTTTCTCAAGGAACAGGAGGAAGGCATCGGCTAGGATGTCCTGAAATTCCTTGAGGAATTTTCATACAAGATATTTTCAAGGAGGTATTAGCTGAGGAAAATCTCGACTTGAGGAAATCTCAAGTTGAGATGTTTTATAAAAGTGGGGCCTTACTAGTTCATCAAAATGATCACACCTGAAAATTTAGAAATGAGATTAATAAGTAGGCCCTGAATTGACTGGGAGATATAGAGAATTTATTTGACACTTGGAAAATCTTGTTCTTGATTCTTGAACACAATACTATTTTCACGGAACTTGTAACTGATCACACATGATAGCACAAGGTTGTTTATAACCAACATATATTAAATAGTGCTTTAATCATGTGCCTCTCCTTTTTTTGTTTTCATTTTTTTTTTGGGGGGGGGGAGGGAGGGGGGAGACGTTAGTCCTGTTTTCAACATCAATTGATACACATTGTGTTTACATACTGAAGTCAACATGTATAAGAGGTATAATTCAGTATTAATCTAAACTTAATGTGCAACATATACAGCATCAAAACTTCAAATTACTTAACTCACAATATTTGTAGATCTTTTGACAATCTTGGTTTGAAATATCACAATGCAATGTCAAAATTATTGATAGAAAACTTATATATATCAAAACAAGAGATCCCATCATTTGGTCTTTATTTGTTCTATCAAAAATGGATCTTTCCACTTCTTTTTTCTGCTTTCCTCTGTTTTTGCTCTAAATTATGAAATTAGAAAATTTCTCGTTAGAATTAGTGATAAGAATTCTTAACTGCCAAATCCAAGAGGACATACAAAATTTTAAAGAGCTCCATCCAGTACTTCAAGAAATGGACATAACAAATTTTCATTGTCAAAATCGAAGAGTGCCACCTGTCAGCCATCTTGTTTCTCTGATCAGCCCCAAAATGGAATACCTGTATGCATAACTTTGGACTAAGGCAAATATACATTGGAAATTTGAGATTGATGTACTAAGGACAAAGAGCAATTTGATGGATCCACCATCTGAAATGAAGGGCTAAAATATTCCTATAAATAGACCAATGCTAAATAATAACTCATCACCATTGACAGTATGCTTGACTTACCTGTAACAAATAAATTAGTATTGTTACAACTTGCTTACAACCAAAAATCAAATTCCAACATTGTGCCATTAGCACACACTCAAGCCTGAATATATTCAAGTTTTTTGAAAATACCAATCTTAAGTTTTAAAATGCCAATCTTGCTTTGTTGATGTCACATTTACAATAGTCTGAATTCTATAAGGAAAATTTCTTATCAAGTATTGTGTTTTGAAAGGATAATAATTAATTTGCATGCCAATGTGGTTCAAACAATGCTTAGTAGTGATATGTAAAATTGATTATTGAGATTTACCACTGAAACAAGTACATGATATAGAGTTGGGATCAAAATATCAAATTGTAAATATAAATTGCATATGTAGCCTTTGTTTCTCATTGATTGTTATAACCACTGTTTAGTAAAATTTGGTGAGTATTATTTGAATGATCGAACAACTAGTGCATTAAATATCAACAATATGACAAACCTAAATATATAAACATAAACATGTGTAAACTGATTTAATTATGATGAAATGTATGGAGAGGTAACTGGAACAGTCTCTTTTACTCCTAATATCATCAATATGTATTCAAGATCCCATACACTGCGAGAACTGATTGCAAGTCGGTAGTTTTCTCCAGGAACCCAGGCATTCCTCCACCATTCGAACCTAGCAATTCCTTAAAAGTCCCTG